ATGCTGTTCCAATACATACAAGTCCCACCAATAATAAATAAAATGTTAAAAAATTAGAATTTAGTCTCTCAAAATTACAGCCAGGTTACATCTTCCAGAATGTTCTGTATATGCTCCAATGAATTCTTCTTTCAAGAACATTAAGTAATTGTGCTGTAGGAACCTTGAATTTAGACAGAGCTTACTGCAAGGCTTACAGAATTCTGTGAGAGCTAGTGATTCTTTCTTTTAGAGCTGAGAGATGTTCTCTTGGCAGATAACAGTTGGCTCTCCCTTGATTTTCCAAATGCCGTCATCTTTTATACCCTTGATGACATAATCAATGTCTTACAACAGGATTGTCCTATGTTGTCAAAACCATGAGATTTAAACTTATGTGGTTTTTGGTATCTAAGGGCCTGGTTTAAATTACTCAGCTACACTCAAAAACCTGTTGTCTTGGTAAAAATGCTACTTTGCCCACTAACAGTATAACCTTTTGATACAAATGTTTCAATTCAGGTGCCCTATGCACCTGTAAACCCACAGACATCCTTTTTGAACCTCTAGGCATAGACAAAGCACATCATCTTATAAAGGGACCACACACAACTTTCCCTACAGTATATTACAAACACTAACATTTTACAAACACCAACATTTTACAAACACCAAATTCTAATGTCCTGCCTGCCATAAGTACTATACCCAACTTCACAACAATTAGGGCAAAGCTTCTCATGGTTGGAGATAAAGATTCTGTCCAGGATCAACAAAGGAGGAGTAGTCCATTTCCATGGACAAAGCTAAGATTGCGATAGCCTGACACTCAAGATGTGTACGTAGCGAAGAGAGTGTGGTGGATCGAATCTCAAGTTATAAAATTGCTTCAATTCAGTTTTTAGCGAGAATGAGGGATAGGTATGGATAGGTATGGCAAGTTATATGAACCGTGGACTGACCAGTGATGTTATGATCTTGGTCAAAAAGGAAAAGGAAGTATATGTAAGGTTTAGGAGGATGGGAACTAACGAAGCCTTGAAGTATATAAGGAAAGTAGAAAAGAAACTAAACAAGGAATTAGAAGGGCTAAAAGGGGTCATGAAAATTCATTAGCAAACAGGAATAAGGAGAATCCCAAGGCTTTTATACATAGATAAAAAGCAAGAGGATAGCCAGGGAAAGGGTTGGCCCACTCAAGGACAAAGGAGGGAATATGTGGAACCAAAAGAGGTAGGTGAGGTCCTAAACAAATACTTTGTGATGGTATTCACCAAAGGGAAAGAATTAGTGGAGGTTGATGTCAGGGAAGGGAGCATTGAATTTCACAGCCAAGTTGCTATTAAAAAGGAGGAGGTGCTGTGCATCTTAAAATTTAAGGTAGATAAGTTCCTGGCTCCTGAGGGGATCTATGCCAGAATGTTGAGGGAGGCAAGAAAACAAATTGCTGGAGCATTGACAGACATCTTTGTATCCTCTTTGGCCACAGGTGAGCTCCTAGAGGACTGGAGAATAGCCAATGTTGTCCCGTGGTTTAAGAACACTAGCAGGGATAATCCTAGAAATTACAGGCCTGTGAGTCTCATATCAGTGGTAGGGAAATAACTGGAAAAGATTCCCAGGGACAAGATCTATATGCATTTAGAAGCAAATAGCAATAGCATGGTTTTGATCGTGTTTTTTTGAGGAGGTGACGAAGATGATTAATGATGGAAAAGTGGTTGATGTTGCCTACATGGACTTCAGTAAAGCCCTTGACAACGTCCCTCATGGCAGACTGGTACAAAAGGTAAAGTCACATGGTATCAAGGGTGACCTGGCAAGATGGATACAGGATTGGCTCAGTCATAGGAGACAGAGGGTAGCAGTGGAAGGGTGCTTTTCGGAAACGGAGGGTTGTGACTAGTAGGGTTCCACAGGGATTAGTGCTGGCACCTCTGCTGTTAATGCTCAACATAAATGCTTTGGAGGTCTAATTAGTAAATTTGTGGACAATATGAAGATTAGTGGAGTTGCGGATAGTGAGGAGGGTTGTCAGAGGATACAGCAGAATATAGATCAGTTGGAGACATGGGCAGAAAAATGGCAGATGGAGTTTAATCCGGACAAATGCGAGGTGATGCATTTTGGAAGGTCAGGTACAGGTGGAAATTATACAGTGATTGGCAGGACCCTTAAGAATATTGATATGCGGAGGGATCTCGATGTTCAGGTCCACGGATCACTGAAGGTGACAGTGCAGGTAGACAAGGTATTTAAGAAAAGGCCTATGGCATGCTTGCCTTCATTGGAAGGGGCATTCCGTACATGGATAGGCAAATTATGCTGCAGCTTTATAGAACTTTAGTTAGGCCACACTTGGAATATTGTGGATAGTTCTGGTCACCACACTACCAGAAGGATTGCATTGCAGAGGGTACAGTAAAGGTTTACCAGGATGTTGCCTGATATGGGGGATTTTAGCTATGAAGAAAGGATAGTCAGAGTTTGTTTTCACTGGATGCAGGAGGTTGCGGAACAACATGATAGAAGCTTATGAATTTGTGAATGGCATGTGGTATGGACCAGGCCAGACCCTCTCAAAATATTTAAAGAAGGTAGCCTAAAACCTAATTTTTTCTTATTTTAAAGGCAGATGTGAAATGGGTGTTCTAGGTCTGATGCAATTGGTTAAACCCTTGGCTTTAAGCAAAATAGAATTTATTTAAACCCTACAGGTAAAACACAAACAAAAGAAAACGGAATTCAGAATAATTTAACCATTGAAAAACTTAACCGACCCGATACAGCAACTTAACTAATTAACTGTTCCAACATAGCAACATCCCATAAACACAGCCCTTGGCAAAAAGGTAAATTCAAACACAGATTCTTACAGGCAGGAGGGTACAACATTCAGAGAGATTTCAGAGAAAGTCAGTCAGGAATCATTGACTGAAGCTTGCAATCTTCCTGGTACTCAAAACATCTTGTGATAGCTACAGCTAAAAAAAAATTGAAAACCCTGAACTGGGAGAACTAGCCACTCCTCTTCCATTGTTAAACTATTTTAGCTTCCTAGCTCCCTAGACTCTTCTGCACCTTTGTCTTTACAACGTCTCTCTGAAAAAAAACAGGACAAAATGACCTTTTTAAAGTGACAGCATCATCACTCATGGATAGAGTGGAAAGTACGAGGCTTTTTCCCAGAGTGGAGGGATCAAGTACTAGGGGACACAGTTTCAAGGTGCAGGGAGGGGTACATTTAAAAGAAATGTGCAAAGCAAGTTTTTCACACAAAGTGTGGTGAGTGCTTGGAACATGCTGCCAGAGGAGGTGGTGGAAGCAGACACAATAACAGCATTCAGGATACACCTGGACAAATACATGAATAGGAAGAAATAGAGGGGTACAGATCCTGTAAGTGAAGACAGTTTTAGTACAGAAGGATAAAATGTGTTGGCACAGGCTTGGAGGGCCAAACGGCCTGTTCCTGTGCTGTATTGTTCTTTGTTCACCCTTATTGGAGAGACCCTCGCCCAATGATAATGTCATTGAGTTGTTGTAGGTGCTAATGCTTTGGGCACCCAGAATTAAATCCCACCAAAGCAGCTCATGGAATTTAAATTATTAATATATCTGGAATTTAAAGCTTGCCTCATGCATGGTGAAACTATTGCTGATTGTTCAAAAAGCCCAACCAGTTCACTAATGTACTTTAAGGAAGGAAATCTGCCATCCTTACTGGGTCTGGCCTACACGATTCACCAGATCCACAGCAATTTGTTGGTTGATTGTTAACTGTCCTCTGAAATGGCCTAGCAAACCATTCAATTCAAGGGAAAACTGGCAACAAATTCTGGCCTTGCTATCATTGCGTGCATCCAAAGAAAGAGTTCATAAACAAAAGACAAGGGCAGTCGCTCATAAAGCTCTTTTTGATGACAATGTTGCCTAGCAGGATAACAAAATGAATGCAATCAAACACACCGGCTCAGCAAACAAGTCCACAACCTCATAAATTATTGTTCAATTGTGTGATAAATTGGAATTGTCTAACACTCAGCAAAGGCTGGAAACATATCCTGTAAAAATTGATGTGTTTCTGATTTTGCTGTTTTCTTTCATTTTTTATCTTACAGAAATCTGTGAAGGCGAATGGTCTCTGTGGTTCAACGAAAACACGCCAACTCTGCAAAACAGAGCAGACACTGAGTTATTAAACCAAATGTCCAGTCCTCTGTGTCCATTCTCTCCCTATCAAATTACAGCCATTCAGTGTGAGGCTCTCAAATTTCCCCAGCGCCCAATAAGTGAGATGAAAGATTATGTGACATGTGAAAAAGAAACAGGACTCATTTGTACTTATAATAATAAGACATCCAAAAACAGTTTAATGTGTTTGGACTACAGAATAAGAGTTTGCTGTCAGCACCCCACACCAAGCACAAGTCCTACTTCACAAACATCAGCAAACACCACAACTACCGCAGTTCCAACAACACCCACATCCACATCTACCGCTGTTCCAACAACACCCACATCCACATCTACCACAATTCCAACAACACCCACATCCACATCTACCACAGTTCCATCAACACCCACATCCACATCTACCACAGTTCCAACAACACCCACATCCACATCTACCGCTGTTCCAACAACACCCACATCCACATCTACCACAGTTCCAACAACACCCACATCCACATCTACCGCAGTTCCAACAACACC